CAGTCTGGCTGTCATTCGAGCGGTCACTCGATTAGAGGGAAATTGAAAAGCCCATGGAGAAAGAGAAACACCGCTCTCCATGATCGCTCTGTGGAACAGACCTTTGGCGAGAGGTGACAACGTCAGGAGAGAGACACTTCCCGATCCAGCACTTTCTCCAAAAATGGTTACCTGATTTGGGTCACCTCCAAAGGAAGCAATGTTATCTTTTACCCATTTAAGAGCAGCAATCTGATCCAGCATTCCGTAATTTCCAGGCATCGTGTTGTCCTCCGTTGAAAAGAACCCAAAAAGATCAAGTCTATAGTTGATGGTAACCATGACAACACCTTTTGTTGCTAGCGACGTGGCATCATACTGGGATCCTGATCCTATGATGTACGCACCCCCATGTATCCACACCATGACGGGCATTAGACCTGTAGCCTTCCCTTGTGTGGGAGAGTAGACATTAAGGTACAAACAGTCCTCACTTCTAGGCGGCATGTCCCCGTTGTGAAAAGTAATTACAGGTATTGCTTGTTGTAAACACTCGTTCCCGAAGGTAACTGCGTCTCTGACTCCATTCCACGCGTCTGGGGTAACAGGCGCTTTAAAGCGAAGCGATCCTGAAAAACAGGTATTTTAGTCCTCCTTAAGTGTGCTGTGACACTCTCAAAAGACAAACATTAGAAGACATCCTTCTCTTTGAACGTTCTCAACAGACAAATACCAACAAAACACACGACTCTGTCTTTATTCTCTTTGAATTTTCTTTTTGTATAAAAATCTCTATATTTTAAACATAGGTGTATTTCACACCCCTATCGACACAATTCAGGTTATATCAGAGGCGGTAACATCTTCAACTTCATTAAGTTGGCTAGTTTTGAAACAGACATTAGCAAGCATTGTTTGCCACTCATGTCTCAGCTCAGATATTGTAAACAAATCCGTTATTTTTCCATTGTTAATATCAACAAATATCTTGATTTTTATAAAGCCATTGGTCTTTACTCAAAGCTATAAGCTGTGTTATGTCACGATATAAATTGCTGATTTTAAAACTGAATTTTTTTCAGTATATATTTTTAGATACCTTAACCATTTCGAATAACGAGAAAACAACGAACTTGTGTCTCGCGATCTCATATGAACTTATACAGTTTTGAGAAAACAAAACTACATCTCGTATCAGTGGAAGGAACGCTGGATAAAAAAAGTGAATTTATAAACTCCATAATAGCATGGCCCAATAGGGTCCACGAAAAACGTTCGGGTCCATACAGAGTGGACGAAGACCGAGCACTGGTCATGCCTCAGATATATTTTCTGCAGGGAGAACAAAAACAGTTTTTATGTCGGATGCGATATCGATTTTACTGTCATGCACACCCTAATGAATTGTCTTGACTTTGGAGAGACCCGAAGAAAATGTATTACTATTAAATGTACTTATTTGAAAAAAGTGTTTTCCTTCGTTGAGCTCAACAGAATTTTCGATTTGGTTAAGACCCCTACTCTTAGAAATGTAAATAGTGTTATTTTAAAATATCTCGTATAATATTGTTTTAAAAACTTAATATTTATTATATATTATATGCTTTAAATATTTCGACCCGCAAAGTAAAACAAATTCGGGCTATAAAATAACATAAAAACAATGAATTGTGTCCTGCGAGCACGTCTGACCTTATTATGCTGTCGGAGGTGCCGTAAAACTTACCAGACTGCAAACATGTGCAAAGGCACAAATACCATCTCATCGCCCCTCAAACATACATTAAAACATACGCACAAACACACACATACACATACACGCACACACAAACACACACACACACACACGCACGCACGCACACACACACACACACACACACACACACACACACACACACACACACACACACACACCACAGAATAATATTTTTCAAACAATTGAAAACTTAGATACCATATCCAGGCTTATTTTTCCCGTACCAATGTTGTTGTTTTTTCAAATTCCAACGTTCTCATTCATCCAGTCATTCAAAAAACTATGTCTTTAAGTGTTAGATCTAATGTCAGTATCAGCCACTTCGTTTTTGCGCGAAGAAGACATGAGCTCTATTCCATGAGGAGAGTTATCTTAATTCTTCGCCTGTCTGCTGTAACCTCCTTCACAGGCCTGGTATGCCTTGTTAGGCAGGATCGACAAAGTCTGACTCCTAAATAATCTAGATCTAGATTGTGTCGATAAGGTCATAACATATCTGCGGTATCATTGTTTTAAGTCAGTTTAATGCGCATGTTTTAGAAAAACGTTGAACATCATGTGAAGGGACAAAGAAACGAACAAAATGAGACATCATGTTCGTGAAATACGCGTAAAAACAACTAATGAGGCTGTTTGAACATGATAAATGTGGCTGCAAAAACTTGTCTCTGAAGTTTAGAAACACACAAATCGATGGCTTCAAGGCAAAAAGGAATTTAAAAAAAAAAGGTTTGAAGGAGTCGAAGTGACCCTCTTAATGAACAACATGGCAATCCTAACAGCATCACACCTGGTCCACGTACGACACCTGCATCTTCCCTCGACATGTTGTTTTTTAAGAGGTCAGAAAATAAAGACACAAAAGTAGCACACTCTCGTAAGGAAAAGAATAACAGATAGCAAACATTTCTTATCCTATCTTTAAATGGGACGGTTCAAGCTTAAAACCAACCCTCTTGCTTGACATTGTAGAAATACTTTTCTCCCCCCTGGAAAGGTGTTCTGCCAAGGACAGGAGGAGGTGAGATGCAAAACCCGCTAAGCGACATTTTGGAAAAAATAAAGTGTCTAATAGTTCACGAAGCTCAAATGTGTTTATCAAGGAAAGAGGAATTGTTAGAATTTGCGGCTTTATACCTAACATAAGACATCTTTTGAGGATTACAAAAGACTCTCACCTGTTGGTGGTTTCGCAAACGGAATTCCGTAGAACTTGGCCACAGGTACTTGAGTTGTAAGTCTACCTTTCCCCTGACTTTACCGTACCTGGCGTTTGCCATGAGGTACATTACTGCCCAGTATGGAGGTATAGAGAGCCTGGAGCAACCAGGCCGCTGCCATTTTAATCGCAAGTTACAAGAGCGACAACAGCTGAATTCACAAATCAAAACTTGCAGCTGTGGTCGATTTTACTAACATTTTCTGCTTTTATACCTCACAACACTGACTTCTGGACTATGATAAACTATAAATGGTTACCGAGATCGAGTGCATTTAGATCACGTGAGGCCTACGTCAACTTCTTGATATAAGAGACCAGTCTTTTCCTAAATCCAAGGGTATTTCCAAGTTATCGGAGGGCAAGTAGGCTAAAGGGAAATGTCCCTGGAAATACAGGAACTGAAACGTTTCCTAAAACACTTTCAATTTCGTATGTCTGCTTTTAAAAATGGCAAGTTTCAAAATTTGCCTAGGTGCATGGAATTTATCATTTGCATTCCTGTAAGCCAGTGACCAAACGAAACTATATTTATTTTATTTAATTTAGAATCAAAAGGACTTTGACTTTAATTATTATATTACCGCCTTATATCAAATACCGACTTTTGGGTGCACATTTGACGATGACAATAAATTAGTTATAGCATCCAAACCTATAAATTGCTCATTTTGAGAAAGCGTAAGTAGATACTAATCTAAACTTCATTTTTAATAAAACAAAGAACAGAAAAAAAATAGCCACGTGGTCGGTGAAATAATTTGGATTTTCTGTTTTTTTTCCGGGGTGTTGTGAACACTAACTGAAACACCAAAAAATGTTTGTACAACATTACCTACGTTTCACTGACTTTTCAGGGTACTTAGAACTACTCATTTAAAAGATGAAGCGTAAAGACGAAAAAAAGACTAGATTTTATACACAAGCAAAAAGTTGTACCTTTCTTTTCGTCGCCAGTGCATTATTGCTAGCTGATATATCAGTCTTTTTGGGAAGTACAGGGCGCCTTTGTGTTAGAACCATATTTCACGAACACTTTGTTCGTTGGTTTTTAAAAAGTGCTTACGACCAGGCGCCTAAGACGGAGAGGAAAGGAGAAGGAAATAGGTCTACATCGATACCATGAAAGTAGTCGCAAAGGAGGCATTCTTGTAGACTGTGAATTATATGATAGTCTGTACAATTACCGTTTCCATATTGTGTGGCACTTAGAAACACCACTTTTATTACTAGCTTTTGTTTACTGGAGGCCGTTCTAGATAGTTAGACTCTCTGTCCTGTAGAGTGTAGGGGTTTGCTTCTACTGCTACAATTGGGAAGGGGAGGGGAGGGAACATTTTTAGAAAGAATATTTTTTATCTGTCTTTCTCTCGGCGTTTTTATGCATTCCATTCAATTTGGGAAGGTCTTTACAGGTAGGGTTGAAGCAGCTTAGTTCTACAAACTAAAATAATTGTTTTAATGGCGACGTAAAACGTTCACAACAGATTGCAGGCTACGAAGTTCGCTTGTTATTATTCAAGTTATCTTCACTGTTTTTGGCCATGAAACTGCATTTAAACAATGAAACTGTTAATTCTTTTATAATAATCATCATGGGGCTGAAAAGTACATTTCATTTTCACTGGTTGGATTAAACATAACTAATTTTACGTATCTAATATGTGTAAGATATTATGTTGAATAGAGGAACATGTTCCCGGAAGATGCTGATGATACTGTTACTCATTATGTCACAAAAATTCCAACTTTTGAGATGAAGCGGGCACACTAAAATATAACTTGAGCCATTCTGACGATCCTGGTCGGAAATCCATTATCTTGTTCTTGACCAGGTGTTGTATGTGTAGTGCACATAGATGATCTACAGCCTGGCTCGATCCTTCTGTCAGACAGACTTTGAATCGGAGACTCCGCCATGAAATAGCTTCATAATTCTTAAGCAATCGTAAACCTATGCCACACCATACCAGACTGAGAAATTGAGTAAATACTATAATTTATTGATCCCCATCGTAATGTACGCTAGTCTCATAATATATTCAGGGACATGATAAGCGTGTTCGAAAAATAAATAAACCCAAGACCTGGCGTACTGGTCTGTGATTCCGCAACTGAACAAACGTTTTTAAAAAATGGAACAAATAACTTGCCTATAACTTCAAAAATAAAATGATACAGAAATTTTTTTAAAACATTGGTGTCTATAATGTAGTGTCTTGGATGCCTTAGGAACATCCGTACTATGTGCTTGATATACACTTTCCAATACCCACTGGGTTATTTATCCTATTAAAAAGAAAGACACGGAATAATTTAATTTTCATAATGCGAAACTTTATCGCGTTTACTTTTACCCAATAATTGGAAAAACTGGCTTTTTGCTTCCAGTCATCTTCTCTAAAAGTTTGTGATAAAAATCAACGTCACGAGGATTAGACCATAGTTTTGACTCGGTAGCAGAATTAATACGAAGGTAGTATGGTGTTCCTGGGCTGTACTGGTTCCACATGACTCCTCCTTTGGGCACGGTTGACGTTGGGTTCCCTGTCTGAGCAAAGTTGGTCCACAGTTCCATCATCTGTTGAGATACCAGAATGTCCATAGCGTTCGGTGGACCATAGCCACTGTCGGCCCACACTTTCGCTTGAACATCGAACACAAACAAGAGCTCCTCGCCATGTAGAGCTGACATCCACTGGGGTGCTTTGCTGAAACTTGGTCTGTGGTTGAACTCATACATGTAGTGTTTCTTTTCTGGGGCAGTGCGCACAACGTCGTTTAGCTCTACTAGAGTTGGAGCCACAAATGTAAAGCTGTTCACAGCATCCAAAGCTTCTCTCTGCAGTAAGTCACTGTTTAAATTATTAGTGACGTAAGTTGACTGGATTAAATTTAAAACTTCTTGAAGATGTAGATTGGTAAACTGTTTCAGTTGAAGTGCTATAACTTGTTTTGCCACTTCCGCTGTAATTGGTTTTGGGGGATTTTGAATAAAAGCAGGGATATACCCACCAACCTCATCACTGTTGAATCCCCTCAAAGTGTCTACATGGTTAATCTGTCCCCGTGAGAGAAGTGTAACTGGCGACTCTGGCAAGAAGCCAAAGGTTGTCTCAACTCTTGGAGCCATTATAATACCGGCATCTACAGCATTGGTCACGGCAATAGAAACGTTCAGCAACATTTCTGCATCCACTTGCTGCAAGCAGGACAAAAGTGAAGTTGAATTGTCCAAGTCGTCGCACTCAGCTGCCACGCTGATCAATCTGGCTGTCATTCGAGCGGTAACTCGATTTGCAGGGTAATGGATGGCCCATGGAGAAAGAGAAACACCGCTCTCCATGATCGCTCTGTGGAACAGACCTTTGGCGAGAGGTGACAACGTCAGGAGAGAGACACTTCCCGATCCAGCACTTTCTCCAAAAATGGTTACTGCTTTTGGGTTCCCTCCAAAAGAAGCAATGTTATCTTTTACCCATTTAAGAGCAGCAATCTGATCCAGCATTCCGTAATTTCCAGGCATAGCATCGTCCTCCGTTGACAAGAACCCAAAAAGATCAAGTCTATAGTTGATGGTAACCATGACGACACCTTTTGTTGCTAGCGACGTGGCATCATACTGGGATCCTGATCCTATAGTGTACCCTCCGCCATGTATCCACACCATGACGGGCATTAGACCTGTAGCATTTCCTTGTGTTGGAGAGTAGACGTTTAGATACAAACAGTTCTCACTTCTAGGCGGCATGTCCCCGTTGTGAAAAGTAAATGCAGGTACTGCTTGTTGTAAACACTCGTTCCCGAAGGTAAGTGCATCTCTGACTCCATTCCACGAGTCTGGAGTAACAGGCGCTTTAAAGCGAAGCGATCCTGAAAAACAGTATTTTAGTCCTTCTTAAGTGTGTTGTGACACTCTCAATAGACAAACATTAGAAGTCATCCTTCTCTTTGAACGTCCCCAACAGACAAATACCAACAAAACACATGACTCTTTCTTTATTCTCTATGAATTTTCTTTTTTGTGTAACCGAGCCTGTAAAAATCACCATTTTTAAATGTAGGTGTATTTTACACCCCTATCGACACAATTTAGATTTCATCGGAAGTGATAAACATCTTCTACATCATGAAGTGCTTGTTTCGAAACAGACATTGGCATTCATTGTTTGCCACTCAAGTCGTAGGTCAGATTTTCTAAACAAACCCATATGTTCTCCATTGGTAATATCAACAGATATCTTGATTTTGTAGAGCCATTGAAGTAAATTGTGCTATGTCACGATATAAACTGCTGATTTTAAAACTGAATATTTTCAGTATATATTTTTAGATACATCATCCATTTCGACTAACGTGAAAACAACGAACTTGTGTCTTTTGGTCTCATATTACTTTATGCAGTTTTGAGCACGGTAAAATGTTTACTAGTCCAAAACAAACTTCAAAAATGCGATTAAAAAACAAACAAAACTGCATCTCCTATCAGTGGGAGGAACGCTGGATAAAAAATGTGAGTAATAAACTCCATAATAGCGTGCCCCAATAGGGTCCACGAAAAACGTTCGGGTCCATACAGAGCACTGTAGGGGGCTGACTTTGGCCAGCAGTCCCATTACCCACTGCAAATTTTAGTAGGAAGGAATCACTTGGCATGCCTCCTTGATGCAGATATATTTTCACCGTTTTATGTCGGATGCGATATTGATTTTACTATCATGCACACCCTAATGAATTGTCTGGACTTTTGAGAGACCTGAAAGAAATATATTACTATTAAATGTACTTATTTGAAGAATGTGTTTTCCTTCGTTGAAATCAACAGAATTCTCGATTTTGTTAAGACCATTGGTCTTTACTTAGAAATGTGAATAGCGTTATTTTTAAATATCTCCTATAATGTTGTTTTGAAAACTGAATTTGACCCGCAAATTAAAACCAAGCGGGCTATAAAATAACATAAAAACAATTGTGTCCCACAGGCACGTATGACCTTATTATTCTGTTGCGGGTGCCGTAAAACTTACCAGACTGCAATCATGTGCAAAGGCGCACATACCATCTCATCGTCCCTCAAGCATACACTAAAACATACAAACAAATACACACATATATGCACACACATAAACACACACGCGCACACACACACACACACACACACACACACACCACATAGTCTAATAACATTTTTCAAACAATTGAAGACTTAAATATCATATTATGCAGGCTTATTTTTCCCATACCAATGTTGTTGTTTTTTCAACTTCCTACGTTCTCATTTATCCAGTCATCCAAAAACTACGTTTTTAAGTGTTAGATCTAATGTCAGTGTCAGCCACTTCGCTGTTGCGTGTAGAAGATATGAGCTCTATTCCATGAGGAGGGTTATCTTAATTCTTCGCCTGTCAGCTGTAACCTCCTTCACAAGCCTGGTATGTCTTGTTATGCAGGATCGACAAAGTCTGACTTCTAAATGATCTAGATTGTGTTGATAAGACCAAAACATATCTGCGGTTACATTGTTTTAAGTCAGCTTAATGCGCATGAAATGGAACATTTTAGAAAAAACGTTGAATATCACGAGTATGGACAAAGAAACGAACAAAATTAGTCCACAAGTTAGTGAAATACGCGCAAAAACAACAAATGAGGTTGTTTGTACATGATAAATGGGGCTGCAAAAACTTCTCTGGCGTCTTGAAACATGCGAATCGATGACTTCAAGGAAAAGGGAATTTAAAAAAAGAAAAAACCATGACCCATGACAATCCAAACAGCAACACACCTCACCCACGTATGACATCTGCTTCTTCCCGCGACATGTTGTGGTATAAGAGGTCAGAAAATGTGACACGCAAAGTAGCAAACTGTCTTAGGGAAAAGAATAATAGATAGCAAATATTTCTTATCTTATCTTTAAATGGGGTGGTTCAAGCTTAAAATCAACCCTCTTGCTTGACATTGTAGAAATACTTTTCTCCCCCCTGGAAAGGGGTTCTGCAAAGGACAGGAGGGGGTTAGATGCAAAACCCGCTAAGCGACATTTAGGAAAAAATCGAGATTTTTTGCTTAAAAATGCACGATGTTATCGGCTATCAGATGCACAAAGTATTTTCAGCCCAAACCAAACACATACTTCATAAAAGCCACCTAATTTAAAAAAAATAGATGTTCAAGCGTATTACAGTATTTTTAAAAAGTTCATTCTCTCAAAAGTGCTAAAATGGATGTAACGGGTTTTGCATCTTAGCCCCACTTTTGTTGTTAGAAAATAAATTACCGGCGTATTCTAAGGCATACGGACAGTTTGATGTCTACCAGTACACTGGTAATTAAAATTCTTTCAAAACAAAAGCATATTTTTTCCTCCCAGAAATGTCCCGGCTCTGTGGTTCATGTTTTCCTACCGCTTCACTCCCTCTCCCCCACACATACAACTTTATCTGTTGATTTTGTCACCGTTTTTGTGCGCTGTTTAATTTCAGTCTTGGTATATTTTCTTCATAGATTTCTATCTTCTGCTCTCTCTCTCCCCCCCCTCTCTCTCTCTCTCTCTCTCTCTCTCTCTCTCTCTCTCTCTCTCTCTCTTTTCTTTCCTTCTCTTTCTCTCTCGCTCACTCTCTCCATTCCTCTCTCTCTTCACGTTATTCCCTTCACCACTACTTGCTTTCCTCTACATCTGTCTGTCTGTCCGTCTGTTTGTCTGTCTGTCTGTCTGTCTGTCTGTCTGTCTGTCTGTCTGTCTGTCTGTCTATGTGTCTGTCTGTCTGTCTGTCTCTATGTCTCTTTCGCTCTATACTTCTTTCTCTTCTTGTCACTCTCTTGCGCACCCCCCCCCTTCTCTCTCTAGTTGAAAACAAAGTTTTTCATTATCTCGCTGTTTTCTCATTTCATTTAGTCTCTCTCTCTCCCTGCTCCCTCCACCCCCCTTCTCTCTCTCTCTCTCTCTCTCTCTCTCTCTCTCTCTCTCTCTCTCTCTCTTTCTCGCTCTCTCTCTCAAATCCTGTTACAAACCTTTCCAAGAAAGAGATGGATCGATGGAGTCAAGGAGACCCTCCAAAGACACAGTATGAAGACCCAATAGGCCGAACACCTGGCCTAGCTTAGACAATTACATCTCCACTCGACACCTTGCAGTACGGGGGTATAAAAGAGTAAATAAGCAAAATAAAAATCTTTCCATTATTTCATTCCTACCCGCCGTCCCCCATGTACATTCAGCAATCAATACTTCGTCGATACTGCTGTACGCGCGCTCATATGACCTTAGCAGTTGCGAGCGCTGTAAAACCCCATACTACCATACCATACCATACTGCTGTAGAATTGCTATTTAGAATAATTCATTTCTGTTGAGAGATACAGGAGAAAGACAACGAGCCTCGTTCCATCAGCACATGAAGAAAGTGTTTGCTAGTTTACGAAGCTCCGATGTGTTTATCAAGTAAAGAGAAATTGTTAGAATTTGCGAATTTGTACTTCACATAAGACATCTTTGGGGATTACAAAAGGCTCTCTCTCACCTGTTGGTGGTTTCGCAAACGGAATACCGTAGAACTTGGCCACAGGTACTTGAGATGTGAAGTCTACCTTTCCCCTGACTGTACCGTAGCTGGTGTTGGCCATGAGGTACACGTCATTCCTCCCTACCTGTCCTCCACCTTGTCCTCCTTGTCCTCCCTGAAGACCACTACTGCCCAGTATGGAGGTATAGAGAGCCTGGAGCAACCAGGCTGCCGCCATTTTTACCGTAAGTTACAAAAAGGGCAACAGCTGAACTGACAAATCAAAACTTGCGGCTATGGTTGATTCTGCTAGCATCTCCTTTTTATACCCCCCGATACCTACAATTAGACAATAATGACCTTACTCAATTCAAAGGTTAACGAGATTGTGCCCATTTAGACCATATGACGTGTGCATTCGCTTCTAGATAAGAGGCCAGTCTTTTCCTAACTCCGCGGGTATTCTCAAGACATTTGAGGGCAAACAGGCTAACATGTGATGACACAGGAAGTAAGTGAAGTGAAACAGGTCTTAGATTACTTTGTATGTGAATTAGACGTACAGACAATGATAGTGTAGACATTCAGACAGACAGGAAAACCTTCTCTAATACGTCTGACTACTTTTTGCTTCTTACAGCTCTTCACTTCTATGAGGGATAACTGGAAAGTAATGCTTGTTATACGATGACATTTTAAATATTGAACACCTCCATCGACATAATTACCAGGTAATTAAGATAGCAGGCTGCTTCAATCCACCCTGCCAAGATGCAAACACTGTTGGGAAGGAATGGCAAATAGAGGCTACTAGATAAATATTATATACTCCCTTCGTACTTTTAGGAAAGGCAAAATGCCCAGTCCTTATATCAACGACGCCGGATTGTTAACCCTATTACAGTCAGTGGTAAACCTGTACCTATCAGAGCAAAGACTTAGGAATAAGGGTACACCTTAAGATGTAAGAAATGAGCACATAATGGTAGATACAGACCAGAAAACTTCATATATTTAGAAAGCTCGAAAAAGCTTTAATATACACTGAAAAAAATACGATTTCAATATTTCTCCCCTAAAATCTGCCAGGAATCTTGAACACTGTAGAGGATCCGACGATGACATTTTCACCGACTTGTAGTTGTAGAGTCGCGGCTGCCGGCGGTTCTAAAAAAACAAACAATCTTTTTTGTTCCTCTGGCTCATAAAAAGTTCTGATGACTACAGGAAGTCCTTCTTTTCAAAATGAGTGCACGGTCGTTCAGCGTCGGCACTTTTGTGGTTCGTATAGACCGCTTTCTGAAACTGCAGGTTTTATCGGCAGTAACATTCATATGGCAAAGAGAGTGCCGATTCTAGGGAAGGTGTACGCATTTCCCATTTTCAAAATAACTGTACAATACAGTAGACGTGTAGTAGAAAAATAGTATCATACTCTACAGCTGTATCCCCTAAAAGTTCTATTAAAATAATGTTTTGATCAGCTTACCATTTTTGGGTGCTACTTTTTTAAAGATATAAATATATGTGTGTTTCTCTCTCTCTCTCTCTCTCTCTCTCTCTCTCTCTCTCTCTCTCTCTCTCT